ACAAACTCAAATATGTGGCGGGAATATAAATGGAAAATTATTAGCAGATATTTCAGGACCCCAGATGTGGTTGCCAAGATGGATTCCTAAAGTACCAAGCTTGTGTTGGAGAAATTGTGGCTCAGCGGTCCCCAATCATACGCACATTTTTTGGTCATGCCCCAAACTTCAAAACTTTTGGGATGAGGTGTACAGAACTATAAACCATATTTTCCCTGAAATGCATCACAATAAGGTGGATGCAGCTGGAGCCTCCTTCCTATGACTTATGGGTCCAAAAAGTAAGGGAATTGTATAAAATGGAAAAGATAACCTACTCATTAAGACTTAAAAAAAAACACTTTTAACCTGCGCTGGGGGCCAGCAGAAGCAATGTTGATGTAAATAAAAGTTTGTCTCTTGGCATATGATGTCTAGCTATCCCTCCCAGAGTGTTTCCTTATTTTGGGGTTGTATGACGATGAACCTACAATTGTGACTAAGATGTTTATTTATGGAAAACTTCATATTGTCAACATTTGTGTCATGTACCTTTAATGCATGGTTGTATCATTGCTCTGCAAAAATAATAAAAGTCTAAGTTCTAAAAAGAAATAAAAAAATAAAAAAAACGAGTACAAATTAGCTGACTATCCGGCCCTTTTGGCGTCCGAACCCCTTTGTAACATCTGGACTTGAGTCCAACCACCTCTGGAGGAGAGATGAACACATCTGGATACAGAGACTAGGGACCAACACACCACGGGATTAAAACCATCTCCATCCTTCCTGGTTTTCCCAGCAGTACTAACACCCCAAACCAGGCCAAGGACCCCCAAACTGATGGAGGGGGACCCCCTGATTATATATATATTGTATGAAATTGTGTTATATCAAACGGGTCCTATAGTGTGTACCTTGTAATTGGGCATTCAGTACTAAGATCCTCCGATAATCCACAGGTTCCTGTATTCCTGTTTTTACTATGAACATCTGGTTCTGGTTCCTGGTTGATGGGACAGGTGTTGTGAATTTATCTGTTCACTACAGTGTGTTGGATTCATGTTCATGTGGATTTAGATACATTTACACTAGTGGAAAAATTTGCATGTTTGTGGTTTTCCTGCTTATTTTTCAAGCTTTGTTTATGTATGTTTTTATAGGATTTAACCTCTCAAAAATGGCTTTTTTTCTCCTCATGTAACTCCAGTTTTGTCACAGGCTCCTGACCGTTTTCTTGAAAACAAAACAAGACTAAAAGACTTGAAGGGAGAAATCTAAACTTCGATGGGAGTGAAGCTCCTCCCGTTTATCTGGAAACCTGCAGTCGGTGGTTATTGATGCTCCGCTGCTCCTGAGCTGCAGATGGCTCGGATCTGGCAGATGCATTTTCATGGGTCAGATACCAATAAAACGCAGACAGACAAACCAGACAGACAGACTGAATCTGCAGGATGCCCACAAACACACACACACTCACACACTCACACACACACATCATATCAGCTCCTCCCTCACGTTTGGGGTTCAGCCAGACTTGAATATAACTTCAATTTCCATCATAAATCTACAGTCAGGCTCTTCGTTCTGCAGGATTTAACAGATATAATGAAATCATCCTATTCTGTAGCATAAATAACTGATCCAGGACCAGCTGACAGCTGCTAAAACAGATCTGACTTACGTTTAATTATCATTTGAGGTAAAACTCAAAGCTCCTGCATCCTGCAGCAACAAACAAAGCAGTTTAAATACTCTGTGTTAATCAATTTCTCTGTTCTTATTTTATTCCTGACTGTTTCTCCAGTGACTTGCGACACCATTTAAAAAAAAAAAAGTGTTAAAATTTTAATGGAAATTAGCGTAAAATCTATCATTACCATAAATTGTGACTCCCACTGCAACAACAGACTGTAAAACATTAAAAGAACTTCATGAGATGACCATAATTAATGGTTCAGTTCATTAAAAAACAGATTATTGTGATATGATTATTCAATATCCAGCAGATAAGTATGAACCCTAATGAATCTATTTGGCCAAATAAGAAAAAAATTTCACATTTCAATGCAAAAAATTTA